GGGTCTGTACCGGTTTGCAGTCCCAGCGGCAGTGTGTGAGCTTTCCTTTCTCTCCGCATCCACCCCAGCATCTGTTGTTTTTTGACTTTTTAGTAATGGCCATTCTGACAGGGGTAAGGTGGTATTTCATTGCGGTTTTAATTTGCATTTCTCTGGGGATTAGTGATGTTGAGCATTTTAGTATTAACATCTTGAAGTAGGACTGCAGATGTTTTTTTTTTCTCATTTTAATAAACATCTGTTTGATAAATGTCAGCTGCACTAATCCTCACGACACTGATGCTGTCATCTCTGTTTTAGAGTGGAGGAGGCCGAGGCACAGAGAGGTAAGGCGATGGGCTCGTTCTGGCCGCCCAGCCTGCGTGGGGGGAGGAGTGATGACGGACACGGGTGTCGGAGAGCCGGGGCCCAGCGCAGGCTGGGGGGCCTGCAGGAGGCTCAGTGTCCTGGCGGGTTCGCGTGAGTCCTGGTGTGTGTCTGCTGCAGCGTCGTCCTCCAGGTCACTGCAGGGAGCATAGGTCTCCACGGCCACACCACCATCCTGTGGTCCAGGTGACCAGGCTCTTCCATCTCAGCCCACCTTTGTTTCCGTCTTCCCGTCTTCTGATTAGGACAGAGCTCGGTTTGTTGGGAGACACCCCACACATGTCTGCGTATGTTCCTCTTCTGGCTGTTTGTTCCCCAGGGTGCACGTGTGCTCAAGTGTGACCAGCTTAGGCTGTGTCGGTCTTGCCATCTCGGTGCATCTGGCTTGCCAGGGCTTTGCCTTCCCCTCTGGATCGGGGAGAACGTTACGGCCACGGCAGAACTTTTGTCTGCTGCCTCCAAGTGCCTGCTCTTTACATGAACACATCCTGGCCTGAATCTTCTGTTTTAGACTAGATGGTGACAGTGGCCGCGATTGTGGCATATTTCTCACATCCGGTTCCCTAACAGTTACTGCTTCCATTCGAATTTGGTAAATGTAGTTTGTCCCCATTTGCTTATATTTGGTTTAAAGAAATCATTGCCTAGAGTGTTACAGATAATCTGCATTCCCAGTTCACTGGTTTCACTTTATTCTTTACTTTTAGTTTGGTTTTCACTTGTGTGCAGATGAAGTCGTACACCATCTGACGGAACGTAGCAAGTATCTTTAGTGTCCGTCTTGCGAAGCTTCATCCTCCAAGTTGCCGTGGTTGCCCCTCACGTGTCCTGTTATCTCTGTTAGTGGTGTGACCAGCCTGCAGCTGAGGTCCTGAGAGGAGCCCTGCAGGGAGGGCGGTGCTGCCTGGGGCCCCCACGGTTCCTGCCGCCGTTAGGCTGGTGTGAGAGGTTGGGTGGTCTCAGGACTTTCCCCTGGCAGGCCGGTGTCTTGGGGTGGGTCGCAGCTCCTGGTGGAACCTTGGCCAGGCCAGTCTTCCTGTGGCCTCGGGGTAAGAGTTTGTCCCTTGCTGCAGGGAGTGGAACCTGGAGGTGACTTCCATGTGACTCTAGGAGTCAGGTTGAGCAGATCTGAAGCACGTGGCAGATGGTGAGTTTCCTTTTAACACACACCATAAGTGGGCATTTGGATTTGGAACGTACACAGCGAACAGTGACTTGCCACTGCACACGCACTTTTCTCATCTTTTGACCTTGGCCTCGTGTTTCAGCGTGGACGCCCCATCATCGTGTCCCAGCACACCGTCAGTGCTTAATTAAGGCTTTTCAGCAGCAGTGTGTGGTGTGCAGCTTGAAGCAACTTGACATCTTCCGTTCACTGGTTCTCTCTGCTCCTGCCTTCCACCCTTTGGTTTAGATACCAGTGAAGATTTGTCTTTTTCTCGATCTTGGTTGATTCACTTCATAATTTGCAAGGATATAAATTAGGCTGTATTGTACATACACGAAAGGATCAGTGTCTTAAATATATACTCTCAAGCCCAAGAAGGTGGAGGCGCTGACACCGCCTGGTTCCCGCACCCTTCCTCCGTGTGAGCGCGGAGCTCCAGCTCCCTCCCGGCCCGCCCGGGACAGACTCTGCCAAGTGGGCCTTGTGGGCAAATCACACTGGACAACCCAAACCAAACCGTCTTCTGCACATGAGGGGAAAGAGAGAAGGTTTATCCTCACTCCAATACTGTCCCATCTCTTGCGCTAGAAGTTGAGTGCCTAGTGGGATCTAACCCTCTTCTGTCCCAGGCCCAGCACGGTGATTCGGGTCTCACTGGTGGTAGCGACGCAGCTACAAGGTGCTTGGGTGGGTTTGTTCTGGACGTGTGATTTGCTTATTCAAATTCCTGTTGTAATATGAAATTGGGTATTTTTTTCATTAATTCAGCCAGTGTGTGCTGAGGGCCTAGTACATATATGGTGGGGGTCTCCTAGGCCCGGGTTGCAGCACTGAGCTGAACATGCTGTTGGGGGAGCAGCCCACCTGGCCCACAGAAGGACCAGCAGGCGCAACTGGAAGTGAGAAGAGGCAAGGATTGGGGGGGCAATCGGAGGAGGCTCAGGAAGGCCGTGGGAGGGCAGCAGAGTGGGAGGCGAGGTGGGGGCCTGGGGTCTGAGGGGAGGGGCCCCTGCCAGAAGGCAGGAGGAGCAGAGGCCCATTTTCCCCTCTGGGCCCTTGCGAGTGGGCCCTGTGCAGTTAGAACTGTCTCAGAGACCCACCATGGCTGCTGGATGAGACGGACGCTGTGGTGTGAACCTGAGAGCCTGGGCGCGGGATGTCAGGAGAGGCCCTGGGCTGTGGGCAGGTCACTCTCCGTGGTGGCCGTACTGCACTGTGGGGCTTAGCACCTCCCCGCCTGGTCTCCCCGAGTCATGGCGACCAGCCTCGTCCGCTGAGAACCCCCCCCTTGCTGGTAGAGGGGGAGGGAGACGCGGCAGCTGGTGGGAGTGGGATGTGGTAGGTGAGTTCTCTCTCTCCGTTGCACGCGTTTTGTTTGGGCATGGCTGTGATTTGACATATTGCCCCCTGTACAGGTGCACAGGCCTCTGTGGTGCTGCTCCTTAGGACCACGTGTCCACCCTCCCCCAGCCCTGGCCACCAGCATGTGCCCTTCCTGTCTGTGATGTTGTCATTCTGGGAATGTCAGATAGATGGATTGTACAGGGCAAACTTCCGGGGCCTGGCCTTTTCCACTCCACACGTGCAGTTGCTGTGTGTCGGAGCCAGCCTTTAACCGCTCCCGCTGAAGGGCGCTTGAGTGGTTTCCAGTTTGGGGCTGTCGTGAACAATGCTGCTGTGTACGTTTGCGTACGGGCTTTGTGTGAACACGGGTTTTCATTTCTCCGGGATAAACGCCCAGGAGTACAATTGCTTGGTCACGTGATATGTGTATGTTTAACTTTATGAGAAGCTGCCAAACTGATTTTCTGGGTGCTGTACCCTTTTGCGTTCCCATGAGCAACAGAGGAGAGATCTGTTTCTCCACATCCTCACCAACGCTTGGTGTTGCCAGTCTTTTAAATTTTACCCGTCTCATAGGTGTTTAGTGGTATCTCATGAGGCTCTTAATTTGCACGGCCTTAATGGTTAGTGATGCTGGACACCTTTAATGTGTTGATTTCGTGAAGTGTCTGTGCGACTCTTTTGCCCATTTTCTAATTGGATTGTTTTCTGGTTGTTGACTTTGGATAGTTCTTATGTCATCTGGGTGAGAGTCCTTTGTTGGGTATGTGATTTACAAACATTTTCTCCTAGAGGGTGAACGGGACAAGGTGGCTTGGTTTTTCAGTGTCTTAGAAGGGACTTTGGCAGAGCACACATTTTTGGTTTTGAAGATGAGGGTGTTTTGGAGGCGAGAGCTGACACCCCAGGGAGTGGATCGGGCAACTCCACACTTGCCTGCACGGGGAGCCTGGGTTGGAGGTCTTGTTTGCGACCCCCAGTGTTGGTGCAGATGGAGGCGTTGGTAGGTGATTGGAGATGGGGTCCAGGGTGCAGGGGGACACTCGAGCTGGAAGTGGGGCTTTGGGAGTAGGCGTGTGTGTGGAGCTCTCCCTCTCAGTCCCGAAGGGCTTGCCCCGGGGTCAGCGTGGCGGGAGCAGCTGCTTCTGGGCCAGGGCACTGAACACTGGGGGGAGGCGTGAAAGAGGAGCATCCAGTGGGGGACAGAGAAGAAGCCTCTGCCAGGGAGGAGCAGGAAAGAGTGGTGTCCTGCACACACAGGAGGTGGTCGTTCTGTTAGGTTCTTCTCCATCCACTGAGTCTGCAGGGAGGACTGACCACCCTGTTGAGAGGGACCTGTCGGCAGGAAGTTTGCCGGACGTGAGCTGAGCGGAACAGCACTGGCTCGTTGGTGGGCCTGCGTAGACAGGCAGAGTGTGTTTAACTGGGCACAGAATTGAGACTTGGAGATTCTGAGAGTCCGTGGGGCTATTTTTAAATTTTATTCTTTGAAGGTATTTGGCTTGCATCCCGTTTTTTTTTTTTCCTTTAAATATGCTTGAGTCACGTCAAGAAAGCTGCATGAAATGTGAACCCGAGTGTTACGTTGCGAAACTTTCCCCTGTGATTTAATGTCTCTGACTGTTGTTTGCTCAGTGAAAATGGTGATAGGGTTTTTTTTTTTTTTAAGACAAAGAATTTTTCTTTCTTATATAAGAAAACTACCACAAAATGGTCTATTCTTGATGACCCAGGTATATTTTTATGTTTATTTTTAAAGGAATAATATATACTAAGCGGCATTTGAGTTTTTGTTTTAAGTCTACTATAAGACCCACATCATATTTGTGCATTTATTTTAAAAGGAATGATGCATATTAAGTGGTATTAGAGTCTTTTTTGAGCCTATACTTTTAATTTTCCTATTTCCTGGTCAGAATAGCATTCTGTCTATTCATGTTTTAAAGTCACCAGACACCTTACTTGTTCATTCATTAAGCGACTTGCGGTAACATGGTGAGCTGAGCTTTGAAGTGTTACCCGTGTGTCCTCACCTGCTGCAGTGCCACGGGGACGCTCAGGGACTCTGCCTCCGCTCTGGCCGGGCAGCGGAAGGCGCTGACCGTGGGCTTCTCTTTTCCAGGTGCACGTTCAGGTTTCCAAGCACAAACATCAAGATCACATTCACTGCCTTGTCCAGCGAGAAGAGGGAGAAGCAGGAGGCGCCCGAGTCCCCGGTGAAGGCCGTGCAGCCGCACATCTCGCCCCTGACCATCAACATTCCAGACACCATGGCCCACCTCATCAGCCCCCTCCCCTCCCCCACGGGGACCATCAGGTACAGCATCCTGTCAGCGTCACAGGCCCCAGTGACACCTTCCCCTTCCTTGGGGCTGCCTCATATAGAGAGAGGGATGTCGCGGGTGCTCAGGATGCCACTGAGTTTCTGAAGACTGCTCTGAATTTCCAGCATCGTGAAATGCAGTTCCCAAATGTTCCTGGTTTTCACTCATGGCTTCTTTTTATTGGAGTATAAATTGAAGGGGCAGATGATGTGTAATATTGGCCTGAAGTATGAGGTAGATTTTAATTTTAATTTTGAATATTTCTAGTTTGCTACAGTTTCACATAAATTCTGAAAACTTGCCCTTTGGTTTGACCACACTGTGTTCCTTGTGATGTCCCAAGAGAGACTGGGTGCCTTCCAAGCACACGGCTGGCCCTCCTCGGGCAGAACCTGGAACCTGGCACACTACTGTTAGGTTCATGTGGTGCTCTCAGGGGAGAGTAATTTAGGGCGAGGAACAGCCACAGAACCGTAGGTGTGTGTTTTGGTGGTGGTCTTGAAGCGTGTCAGGTTGCCGTGTGCAGTCAGTAGGAAGCCCAGCTCTGACCCTGGGGACGGCGCCTGGGCTCAGCCCAGCTCCAGTCTGGTGGTTCTGGTGGGTCCTGGGTAGGCTAGAGGAGTAGATAACGTGGGCATCTTCTCAGCTGTAGGTGATGTTGGACTTTGGTGTGGAATGAGCACGTTAAACAAATATGCGTCAGTGTCCTGCAGTCTGGGTCTGTCCACACAGCAGGGCTGGGAGGCAGAGAAGGGCCCCTCTTGGTCTTCCTGGAGCTGGCCCTTAAAAATGGCTGACCGAGGGCACTTGGACTTCTCTGGGTTATACCTTTACGCCGCATGCTTGTGTTTTTTATCTTAACAACCAGCATCAATAATAGGCCTTCTGGAAATTAAGTAGACATAAATAAATGGAAACACACCCACGTTGATGCATAGGAAAGACTTAATATTGTTAAGATGTTAATACTACCCAAACCAATCTACAGATTCAGCATGATCCCTGTCAAAATCCCAGTAACTTTTTTTTTTCCCTGTCAAGTTAAATTCTTTGTTATCAATGACAGTTTTTGCACAAATAGAGAAACCTGGCTGGGCACAGTGGCTCACACCTGTAATCCTAGTGCTTTGGGAGGCTGAGACAGGAGGGTCACTTGAGGCCAGGAGTTTGAGACCAACATAGCAAGACCCTGTCTCTAGAAAAACTTTAAAAATTAGCTGGGTGTGGTGGTGCACACTTGTAGCCCCAGCTGCTGAGGCAGGTGGGTCACTTGAGCACAGGAGTTCAAAGCTGCAGGGAGCTATGATCACGCCACTGCACTCCAGCCTGGGTGACAGAGCCAGACCCTGTCTCTAAAAATAGGAAAGAAAGAAAAGAAACAGAAAAACCCATCCTAAAACCCATGTGGAATCTCAAGGAACCCGAAATAGTCAAAACAATCTTAAAAAAGAAGATCAAAGCAGGAGAAATCACACTTCCTGATTTCAAAACTTACTATAAAGCTATAGTAATCAAAACAGTGTGGTGGTGGCATAAAGACAGACATACAGACCAGTGGAATAGAGCAGAGAGCCCAGAAATGAACCTTCACATGGGTGGTCAAGTGATCGTCGACAAGGGCGCCAAGACCATAAAATGGGGAAAGGACAGACTTTTCAACAGATGGTGCTGGGAAAACTCGATATCCACATGCAAAAGAATGAAATCAGACCCTTAACTTATACCACATGCAAAAATTAACTCAAAGTGGACCAAAGACCTAACGGTAAGACCTAAAACTGTAAAACTCTAAGAAGAAAACATAGGATAGAAGCTTCATGACATTGGGTTTGGCAGTGATTTCTTGGATTTGTCACCAAAGGCACAGACAACAAAGGCATTTGTCATTTTTTTTTTTTTTTTTTGAGACAGAGTCTTACTCTGTTGCCTGGGCTAGAGTGAGTGCCGTGGCGTCAGCCTAGCTCACAGCAACCTCAAACCCCTGGGCTCAAGTGATCCTCCTGCCTCAGCCTCCCGAGTAGCTGGGACTACAGGCATGCGCCGCCATGCCCGGCTAATTTTTTCTATAAATTTTTAGCTGTCGAATTAATTTCTTTCCATTTTTGGTAGAGACGGAGTCTCGCTCTCGCTCAGGCTGGTCTTGAACTCCTGAGCTCAAACGATCCACCCACCTCGGCCTCCCAGAGTGCTAGGATTACAGGCGTGAGCCACCGCGCCCGGCCTGCATTTGTCTTTTTAAAAAGACAAATTGGACTTCATCAAAATCTAAAAATTTTGTGTATCAAAAGATAATATAAACAGAACAAAAAGGCAATCCATGGAATGGGAGAAGGTATTTGCAAATCACGTATATGTCAAAAGATTGATATCTGAAGTATATTGAGAACTCCCTAAAACTCAACAACAAAAAGACAAAAGATGCAGTTATTTATTTTACATACATAGACTAGTGAAGTGCTGTAGTGGGAAGGGGAAGGTGGTAGGACAGGAGTTCAGTCTGTAACTGTGAGCAATCAGGTGAGCTAAGTCACTACCTTCAGACCAGCCAAGACCCAGGTGAAAGCTGCAAAAGACGTTTCTCTGAAGAAGATACACAGATGGCCAATAAACACATGAAAAGATGCTTAGCATCATTAGTCATCAGGGAAATGCAAATCAGAACCACAGTGAGATGCCACCTCACCCATTAGGACGGCCACTGTGAAAACGCAGAAGGCAGTGTTGGTGAGGACTTGGAGAAGTGGGAGGCCTGTGCGCTGTTGGTGGGAGTGTGAAACGGTGCAGCTGCGTGGAAAACAGTATGGTCGGTCCTCGAAACACTAAAAACAGGAGTACCGTGTGATCCAGCAATTCCGCTTCTGGGTACATGCCCAGGAGAACTGAAAGCAGGGTGTCGAGGAGACACTTGCACGCCCGTGGTCGTAGCAGCACTGTTCACCACAGCCGAAAGGTAGAAGCAGCCCAAGTGTCGGATGGATGAATGGACAAACAGCATGTAGCATCCGTGCAGTGAATAGTATTCAGCCTTGAAGAGGGAGGAACTCCTGACACATGCTAATGGGTAAACCAGGGATTAACCCTGAGGACATCGTGCTCGGTGAAGTAGGCCAGTCACTCAGGACCGTGCTGTCTGATTTCACTTGCGGGAGGTCCCTGAGCAGTCAGATTCATAGAGACAGAAAACAGAGTGGGTGCCAGGGCCTGGGGGAGGAGGGTGGAGCGTTAGTGTCAGTTTTATAAGATGAGCAAGTCTTGGAGAGGGATGGTGGTGATGGCTACACAGCAGTGTGAATGTGTATACCCTGAAAAATGGTTTAAATGCTGAAGTTTATATGACGTATATTTTACCGCAATAAAATATTGAAAGACAAATAGGCCTTCTGGAAAAGCATCTTTGGTGCATTTATTTATCTGTTAAATGGAGGGAGTGGCCAGGTGGACTCTAGCCACTGCCCCATGCTAGGTGCTGTCTGGAGGCAGCTGCTGTTGGGGTCAGGCACCCTCTCGTCCTCCGTCTCCCCCTGTGGCTACTTTGCCGAGGAAGTCCCTTCTCTGCTTCCCACTTTGGTTGAATTTGTCTGTACGTGACTAAGCGGACTGAACAGTGAATGTGTTGGTGGGTAGGCGCGAGTCAAGGAGTCCCGCTGCCGGGTGTTTACGGAGTACTACGCGGGAAGTATGCAGGACTCGCTGAGCTGGAGGAGAAAGCCCACTCACCTCCATCGGACACAGCTCAGAGCGACAGCCTTGGGAACCCCGCACCGAGCAGGACTGCCCAGCAGCCACGGGTGCTCTGGGACAGGGCGTTGTTGGAGGTGGAGTGAGCCTGCCTCTCCAAACCTGCCGTGCAGCCCCCCGGGCGCGTGCCTTCCCCACGTCCACGCTTGCCTGCAGCCTCGACTTCTTAAAAGCTGGCTAGTTTTTATGCTCACAGCCTGTAGATGCCCTGAGTCTTTCCTGTTCCTGCTCTCTCTCCAGTACGTTAAGGACCCTCAGCGGGCATTCGGTAACGCTTGGCGGCAGATCTCAGAACCCCTGCGGAGAGTCCGGTGCGATGTATTGCCCTCCCCACCCCCACATCTCCCTGGCCCTCACTTTAGTTTCTCAGAGGTAACGACTGTTAGGCTTCTTGGTTATTTTTTCCAGTAACTTTCTATATATTTGCAGTATTTCTTTTTTCCCCCCACCAGACACCTATATGACTTGATTTTTAAAATAATCTTGATATCAGTGGCTCATTCTTTTTATTGAAGTACACTGTGCAGAAAATGGAGCGTAAACCAAATACACAGCTCCTCGACACCTCACAGATGTAATCAGCACCGAGATCAAGAATCAGAATACTCCTTTGCCCTGCCTTGGCGGGGGGAAGGACGTGTTTAGGAGCAGGTGTCTGTTTCTGCTTCCGGGGGTGCTCTACCTGACCTACCCTGTACTTCTGGGCCCTGCGGCCACAGCGTCAGCCAGCGTCAGCCAGCGTCAGTGTCCACGGCTGCGGTCCTCGAGGCAGAGCCACCCGTTCGTCCTGACTTGCACATCCTCAGCTGGTAGTCCTGCCATGCTCCGTACGCTCCCCCGTCCTTGCTGGTGCCCCGTCGCAGCCTGTCCTGGCTCCTCTGAAGCCGAGAGCTCCGTGGACTCCATGCCCCTTTGCCAGACTCAAGCCCTGGACCCACAGTGTGTTGCTTTGTCTTTTTGGTATATTCTGGAACATCTGGAGCCTCAGTTTCCTCACTGGTCAGATGAGTGGGCCGCTGGCTCCCATGAGAGTTTGCTTACAGTGTCACGAGATGACGTGTGGACGCAAACACCCTGTGTCCACATTGCTGCTTGGGGTGACCTGGAATTTCAGAGACTTGGTAAGAGTCTGTCTTTCCATGGGAAATACTGATGTTCTCTCTGTAAAATTTTTATATTTGTTTTCCCTGAAATGACAGCCAGTTGTTAAAGTGCAGTACGATGTATGTTCTGTGATAGACTGAGAAGAACAACCTCTTCTCCCCACAGTGCTGCCAACTCCTGCCCATCCAGCCCCCGGGGAGCGGGGTCTTCAGGGTACAAAATGGGCCGAGTGATACCATCTGACCTCAATTTAATGGCTGAAAACTCGCAGCCAGAAAATGAAAAGGAAGCTTCCGGTGGAGACAGCCCAAAGGTAAATGTTCTGTGATCCTGAAACGGTGTGGCTACACTGTCCTCAGTGTGTCTAGCAACAGCCCCTCCGGGCCTGTGGAGAAATGCGGGTGTCGTGATCCAGTGCAGCGGGTGTCCCTGTGGGTGCAGGTTGGTCGTGGTGCTGCTGTTGAGTGTGCTCTTGGTGTGGGGTTCTGCTCACGCGTCTTTCAGTCATCCGCACGTAGCCGAAGCTTCCCCAGCGGCAGGCGCAGGCCCAGGTGCCGAGAGCTGAGCTGACAGCGAGAGAGAATGTCTCGGTCCTCAGGGAGCTCACACGCATTTGTGTCCCAGGAAACCGTCGACAGTTTAACATCACTGTCTCGAGCCCTGAAGGTTATGCAAACACACACAACCTTTTGGGAGGATACCTCCGTCCTCTTGGCACAGCAGGTGTGATGGTTGCGCTCTGGCCCTGTGTGTGTTTATTCTTTGACTCGGGAGTTTCCCTTGGGACTTGGTCCGAGGGAAATGGATGAGAGTTTGTATGAGACAGGAGATTAAAGCAGCCCGAGTGCCCCCCAGGGAGCAGTGATTAAGACGTGGTGGGGACTCCGTACAGCGTGTTCACTTAGGCGAAAGCGCCCTTGTCGTAATGCTGAGTGGAAAAAAGAGAATAAAAGCTGTTCATGGTAGCGCTTTGCACATTTATACCATGTGGTACATCCACGCAGAGCACAGCCCAGCAGCGTCTGTGCTGGGCCCACGGAGGCACAAGGCTGCTTTCTGTGCAATTCCACTTTGATCAGGCTGGAAATCGGGCAAATCTAAATTGTATTGTTTCAGGGTGCCGTAGCAAAATTGTGATTATTATAAAAATTCAGGAATAATGGTAGCCTCTCTGAGAGGTAGAGGCCGTGAGCTGAGAGCATCTGGGATGCAGGCTGTGATCTGCCTCGGCCTAGTGTGCCAATGTTCACTTTACAAAAATTTGTTCAGCTGACATGAATGTACTTAGAACTTTTCTGTCTGTGTTACATATTTTTCTTTTTAAAAAGTTTTTAGATACCCATAAAAAAAAGATCACCAGGAAATACAGCAACAGCATAAACACAGTGACAAAGGCTTTGTTAGCTATTTAAAAGTAGGGATGAAACGGAGCACGGTGGCACCTGTCATCCCAGCTACTCGGGAGGCCGAGGCAGGAAGATCGCTTGTGCCCTGTGGCTTGCGTTTCAGCGAGCTGTGATCAAGGATACTGCACTCCAGCCTGGGCGACAGAGCGAGACCCTGTCACTTGAAAAAAAAAAAGTGGGGATGTGGGGGAGTCTTCTGGGTGCTGGGATTATAGGCGATTGAGTCTTTCTGTTTAAAGAATAACAACAACGCCCCTGTGCTCACCACTAGCTTTCAGCACTAAGCACATGGCCCATGCCGTGCAGGTACCTGTGCAAGAAGCTACTCCCTTCCTGACACCCTGGGTACTGCTGACGTCCTTGCCATTTGTCTGTCAGCTGGCCGGTTCTTTTGCATTTTTTAAAAATTTTTTTGTCTCACTGTGTTGTTCAGGCTGGTCTCAAACTCCTGGCCTCAAGTGATCCTCTCACCTTGGCCTCCCAGAGTGCTGGGATTGCAGGTGTGAGCCACCGCCCCTGACCTTTTACTTCTATAATTATTCATTTTAAAAATTGAAATAAATAGTATCATTTTGAATGTATTCTTTTACAGATTAACTCTTTTCATTCAACATCATGTTTTGCTATTCATCCATGCTCACATGTGTATTTCCTAGACGTTGAGGAGCAGGGGTGGCACCTCCTTGCCCAGGGGTTGGTTGTGCTGACGTGTGTGGGCTGTTGTAGGGGCTCAAACCACCCGTGGCCTTGAACAAGCCGGACCAGGACTCCAGCCTCACTGGGGGCGCATGGCAGTCCCGCATGGTAGAACAGCATCTGCCCGGGATGCCGCCGCCTCATTCGAGCTAGTTCACACACTCAGCCACGTGATGAGGCACCATGTGAGGGCTCCTTGGTGGGCGGGTGTTGGGTGATCCTGTGGCTTTGGGCACTCCGGCCAGCTCCTGGTGCCCATGAAGCTCCTCACTAGGCTGGGCACCCGGCAGGACATGCTGCTTGCTCTGCCCCTGGCAGCTTTGGCCGTGCCAGCCTCCCACCGTCACCAGGGGGGCACCACAGGGCCGGGCTCCACCAAGGTCGAGAAGTTTACCTTGGGTTTTCTTACTTTTTCATTTGTGACATTTGGGTTTTCTCCTTTTGTGATTTTTTTGGTGTTCTTTTTCATACTGATCCATACTTTTCCATTTGTTTCCTTCAAATTTTCGAATTATATTACTTTTATAGTAAGGAAAGTGAAATATTATCAGAGAAACAGTTAAAAATACCAAGAATCCCTAATTTCAGTAAATTTAGTAAAAAATTACAATAACTTCAGTACTCTCATTTTTTTTAAATGCAGGATGATTCAAAGCCTCCTTACTCCTATGCACAACTAATAGTACAAGCGATCACGATGGCTCCTGATAAACAGCTCACGCTAAACGGCATTTATACGCATATCACTAAAAATTACCCGTACTACAGGACTGCGGACAAGGGCTGGCAGGTGAGTCCATTTCAGTTCGTTACTACCCAGTATCTGTGGCATGTCTGGTAGAGGCTCGTCAGTGCTGAGGAAGATCAAGGGCTGCTTGATTCCAGCCAGGCGCAGGCTGAGAAGGTAGAATGCGATGAGGGCGAGGAAGGTGCCGGAGGCCTGTGTTGCCATGCTCTGTCTGACCTTCGCATGGCGCAGAGGGGAGAAAGGATGGTTCTGGAAGAAAACCTACACTTAATGTTTTTACGTTCCACATATACGTGGAAATTCATGTGTCTGCGTGGGATCTGTAAAGCATGGATTGTTCATGTTTCTCTTTGACCAGTGCAGTTTATTTCACAAATCTGACATGTGGGAGGATTTAAGCATCTAACCCACGCTTTACTCCGGCATTCTTCCGTCCTCCTCACCTGCTCCAGCTGATGGGCACAAGTGTTGCCTTCGCACAGGGACAGTGCTCAAACTGTTTTGCCCAGGAACACTTTTTTCAAAAGACGTCTCCAGTCGGTCAGTATGTAAAACAGATGGTTGTGGTGGAGCCCTGGGTTACCCCAGAGGGCACTTTAAAATCAGTGTAAAATCCTCATTCCCATTGGTCAACCTGTGCACCAGTAATTTTTAAACTTTTACATCGTGTAGGTTTTTTCTGTTTCTGCGTGTGTGTGTTGTGTGTAGCCATTTACTGGATATACAGTAGAATCTCACTATTGAAACAATTTGGGAAAGGGTAAGTTTGAAATATAGAATATTAAAAATGTAACAAAAGAGAGAAGAAATGTATGTATGCTTATGATTTTTGAATCCGTTAAATAACCAGGAATGGCTACTGTATTCTTTTGAGGCTTTGGTTTCATGAGTAAATGATCCTTTAAAAAATATGTCTGTTGAACAGTATAGCCTAGTGATGTGGTGGAGGGGGCAAATTGTTTTCTGTTTGTTGAAGGAAAAAAACTTGTAACTGCAGATGTATAAACATGCTGTAGTAAGAATAGTCTACCAACCAAATCTTCAACATTTGCTTTGTAAGGGAATCAAGGTCTTTGTCGTGGAAGGTGCAAAGTAAGACTCAGCCGCCACTCTTGCCCACCTGGCCACAGCAAGGGGGCGGAAAACACCGATTTGGAGAATAGGTCCAGATCCAGCTACATGTCAGGGTCTCTTAGTAACGGGGCTGCATAGTAATGTAGTAATTCAGGCAATATTTACCATATTTTAGTCTTTAAAAGTGAGGTTGTGCTTAAAATATAAAATGAAAAAAAAAAAAAAACAGGACTAGATAGTAACTTACACGTGTTCTGGTGACCACAGCTTTGTCAAGGAGAGAAACTCCGTGTGGAGAGCAGCTCTCTGTGCAGGCCTGTGCGGGTCTCTGCGAACATAAGCGCAGCTATGTGCAGAATTGTGATGATTTGAAATACCAGTTCCCTGGGGCTTTTGGGGAATGTGTGTTTCTAAACAGCTTGGTTAGACTTTAATCTGTTCCTCTTAGGTTGTATCTATTTGAGAACCACTTGCAAGCATCACAGGGTTTTCTTGCTGAAGAGGGTGGAGGGGTAAAGGCCGGCCCTGCCTTGGTCTCCCGGGCCCTGTGTCAGGAAGTCAGAATGGGCCGTTCGGGGAGTCGAACTCCCTGGGCCAGCCTTCCTTGGACCACAGGCCGGGAGGCAAGGACCCCAACCCCGACCCCGTGAGCGCACCGATTCCTGCCCGTGCGCAGAATTGACTTCATAGCCCACTTAGGGTGTAGAATTACAAACTTAACTACAAATTAAGCACCCTCTCGCTTGAACTGTTATTACACTTTTTATTGAGACGTTTTCTCTTCTGTCTAGATGAAGTCCATCAGGATCACCGTGCATGTCTTACCTGAGTGAGGCTGTTTCTGGGACCTTCCATGCCTCCTAGCTCCAGCTCATTTAGCAGGAGTGGGGCCCCTGTCCAGACCCTGTAGTTTAGCATGTGCCCGCGTCTCTCTCTCCACCCTCAGCCATGCCCTCGGCTGTTGGAACCTGACCCTCGTGGGCTCTTTCTGCGGGAGACTCTCTGAGCTGCCCCTCCACTGACTGCACCTAAAACCCCCTTGCGTCAGGCCTTACCCTGAATTCTTCCCTCCCGGCTTAAAGCAAAAAGCCTTTCCATGTTACAACCTCATGTCTTAAAAGAGCCACGTTCCTTTTCTTTTGAGAGAGAAATACAACTGTCAGCAACATAGCCCATTTAAAAAATGTGAACTTCCAGTGGCTCACGCCTGTAATCCTAGCTCTCTGGGAGGCCGAGGCGGGCGGATTGTTTGAGCTCAGGAGTTCGAAACCAGCCTGAGCAAGAGCAACACCCTGTCTCTACTAAAAATTAGAAAGAAATTAGTCGGAGAACTAAAAATATATAGAAAAAATTAGCCGGGCATGGTGGCGCATGCCTGTAGTCCCAGCTACTCGGGAGGCTGAGGC